TGCATAGGTGATTAACCTTTTATACTAAGTTATATATGTATTGACAAATATTTACACGATTTAAAAAGGAAATGAATAACCACTAAAGTATAATTGATAGTGGTGGATATAATTATACCATATTTATAGGCACATAGTACGGATAACTACTAAATTATAACTTTTTATTTTTTTTTTTTTTTTATTTTTTTTGGTTTTACCCACGTTCGTATATAATTATTGATTTTTAGTAATTGTAAAAAAATAACTGTACCTTTCCCGCCATCATTAAAAAAATAAATTTTTTTTAAAAATAAAAAATCTCAAATTATCGAGTTCTTATCTGCAAAAAAAACGGTTACTATATAACACCATAATTTTTTTTTATTACAAAAACGGTTACAATTTGCATCTATGTAAATAAATCTATTGTCCTTGTAATCATTACAAAACAAAAAAACAAATACCAAAAAAAAAACCATTAATTAAGACACAATGGATATCAAACAGAGCAGTTCAGACAAAATGGAGGAAGAGCAAGACACTGTAAGTGTTAGATATTTTTACACTAGATGTTATTCAAATATTGTAAAATAAATTAGTTTATCATAAAACCTAAAAAATTACTTGATCATGTAACGTGTATGATGCATTTTCTAAATTTGGTGTATTTCTTGTTGCATATATTGTATAAATTGAGATCATGTAATGACTTCTTAAGATGTTCATTACTTGCATTTATTATATTTTTTAACATGATACTATTAGTTACTTAAGTAGTTTTTGATAATTTGATAGCTTTTAACGGTGGAACTGTTCGTAGGGAAAATGGATACATTTTTTTGTCCGATTATGTGTGATGTCATAAACTATTTTTGGTTATTACATACAATGAAGTACTCATTAGTGTTTACATAAATTTGACTGACAGGATGTGCCTATAGAAGGCAAACGACCATTACCGTTGAAGGATGCAATACATCTTCTAACAAAAAACAAAAGACACATGATGCTTTCAACTATGATGAGTGGCAGTTATAAAGACAGAGGAAAATTGATGAACAACACGGACAACCGGACACTAGAGTTTGCTACTGTTTACAGAATATAGCGGAGGATAAGATGAGAGACCCTAATTGGTCTGTTCCTCCCATGCCAAAAGCATTGTACTTTCAATTGTGCACATTTCATGAGGTGTTACCTATTGATCCAAAAAGTCCTTGTATAGGCGAAGTACAACCCGTGATGGAGTTAATTTGGTCAAAAATGAGTGAAAAAAGGGTTGCTCAATTAATGCTTGTCTGTCGTGAATGGGGGAGGGCTATACCATTCTTTGTGAATGATTCTAGAGTGCGTCGGAAGTGGTCTTGGTTTCATGACAACCCCAATCAACACCAAATCAAGAGGCCAAAGCCTGATTTCTTGAATTATATGGCTTTGCGCCGACAACGTCAAAAAAAAAATTCTAAGTAATTAATATGTGTTAGTATTTAGTACTTTTTTTTATCTAACTAAAAATAGTTTTAAATTAATGTACTGAATACATATTATGTGTTAGTTGTGTGTTATCTTATTAAAAACATTATAGTTAATTTAATGTATTTGTGTTGAACAATTAATATGTAATGAAAAATGTCTTGAATGGTAATTATTAATATTGCGGTTTTTTATTTGTTTTTTTAATTATATTAACGATTTAATTATAGTTCATTTACTGAATAAATTAATGTTTCATTAATGATTTCTAAATCTCAAATAAAAAAAAAATTCCACACCATTCCGTATAAAAAATATGAAAAACTAAATATGATATACTGTGAACATTTAATTTATTAATAAGGAGCTATAATAATGGTCAAAAATTATACAAGAATATCACATACAAAAGATAATATTTGATTATCTTGAATAGTTATCTTATGTAATCAAGTTATATGGTTATTTGAATTTCTATTCATATCTATTGTAACCACACAATATATCAGTATAATATTAATGTTTCTATATTGGAAACCTAAAGTAATATCATATCAGATTTAAAATTAAAATTAAAAAAAAAACTTAACTATATGTTTATATTATTTTTTTTTTAAAAAAAAACCGCTACATGATAGCGTCATACCCTAAATTTTCCAAACAACGTGCCTAGAATTATGGCATAGATGTATCCAACACTATCACTTTGTGCATTAGTGGTTATCATTTTCGTTTTTATTTTACAGAAAAAGGAATAAATTTTTTTAAAAAGTAACTACCTTTTTTAAATTGTGTGATCATTTATGGATATATTTTATCTAAATATTTTCGAATATTATCCTTTTAAAACTTCAAACTTGTTGATCCTTTTATTTTTGGGAATAAAAAGATGCAATATATAGTTGATTAATATATAAGGTTTGACTATAATATGTGACGAAATTTATCCTAACCTATAAAAAATGTTGAAATTTATTAAACCTATAACCCCCAAAAAAATATGATTGATTTTATTTTTATCAAGGATAAGAAAATCAATATGTAGTCAAGAATGTTAGCGTAGGTCAATACCAAAAATATGATATTAGTTGTTGATATTAATTAGTTAAATGCATAAAAGCTCATATACTTGTAATATAAACAACAATTTTCTCAAAAGTAACATGTAATGTCTATGTATAGAATACAAAATAAGAAAATTATATACAATGTCAGACATCTTTCGTAATATACCAATTTGTTATTGCTGAAATTGAATAAATTGTACTCGTACTTAATAGACTTCATTACTGTTTCATATACAGTCATTCATGTGTTATTCATGTTTATTACATTATAAATTTTTATAATAGTGGTAACACTAATAATTTATTTAAATTGCGATTTTTTTATTCTGTTGAATTTATACTGTTGGATTTATTCCATTTTTTACTATGCGCATTCTAATATTTAACCACTTAATGTTCCCTTAATGTTTGGAGGGAAGTCAATGCACACATTTTAGCGCCACATTTTAGTGGGAAAATCTTTAAACATTGGCGCCAAATTCATGCTATATATACATAGCAAATAAACCACATCAAAGCACCACACATTCACTAACAATTGCTTTCTCTTTGTATCCTGCCACTATTTCTGTTTATCATTTCATTGAGTTCACAAATGGCTTCTGATCTAATTGTAGTTTTTGATCATTTGTTTGACATTATTCACTTTAGTATATTTATTTCACATTTACTGTACACTATTGGTGAAAAAAATTTTGTGACATCTTGTATGCCTGTGGGCAATTACCTACGGTTCAAATGATTTTTCGCGATGAAGTTATGGTGTATCGTATGGATAATGGAATGCCATACGATGACAACCCAAATGGTGGACCTCCTCCCGGGATGCTTGGTGATGATGTCTGTTAAGCTAGAGATTATATCCAATTTTGTATATTTATGAAAAGACTAACCTTAACATGTGGTGTAACACAAATTGAGCCTTTGATTGAAGGTCAGCCAGAGTTTCTTAAAAAAAAAATTTCGGCTCGAGCGTAACTCTTATTTCAAAGAAAAACATATGTTTAAAAAGTTGCCTTTGAAAGAAAATGGAAAGCGTGTGCTTGAGGTTGCGGAAACCCTTTATGATATGGTTTCAAATGAAGAAACATGAACACCAACAAACTTCACCAAACGTCCAGAGAAAATACCTAAGATTACAAAATTTATTGATTTTGTTGATCTTACGTTGGAGGATTAAATGTTCTGAATTCTAAAATTCACTTAAATTAATTTATGTCTTTTAATTAAAGCTTTTCTTAATATCGGGTTAAACCATTAGGGTTTATGGCTATCACAGATGTAATTTCTTATTTTCATAAATTTATAATTTCATTCCTTTGTTGGTTTTGATACATATTTAAATCATATTAATTCTTGTTTTTTTTGTTTTTTTTAAAAAACAGATTAATACTTGTTTTATTCAATAATCAACACAATCGCAATATTTATGTGTGTAAATATTAAGTTTACTTTAATCAATAAAAATAAAAAAGGAATTAAAATTTTTAAGTGAATATATTGTATGCATAAAATCTATTCAATTTCGATATTATTGCCTAAATTTCGCCATGATGCATATATTAGCTGACTATTAAGGAGTACATTATCATGTAGTTAGTGGCAAATTTTGAAAATGAAAATTTTTATGTACTATAATTAATCTAATAGAAATATTAGACTAGTTTTGTAATCACTATAATTACGGTAACAGTTATGTGGAATATATATACAACTCTAGCCTAACTATAGCCTACAATCAAGGGAACGTACAAGATAAAGGTATACATAGAACTAAATACTTAACCAATTTAAAGATGTGTACAATAAATCTATTATAAGAAAATCATATTTAATATTATTTTTGTTAACTAATTTAAATGAAAATAAACTGATATAAAATCAAAAATCATTAATTCACGATTTATTTATGTACATGTGTTACTGTCGGACAGATGTTATAGACTAATTAGGCGGTTTTATCAGGGATAATTTATATGCTGGTAGATATATTTTAAAATTAAAATAAGTAGAAGGAATATTTCGTATGACAATATTGAAACATGTAATCCAAAATTCAAATATAGGTCAATACCAATCATAAAAATTTAAAACACTCATTACAATTTTATTGAACATTCGAAAGTCTCAACATTAACAATAAACTAAAATAAATCAACTATCAGTAGCTTACATTCGGATCCCAATCGAAAATGGTGGGCATTCTATCGAAGATGCTAACCTCATAACTATCAGTAGCTCTTGCAACATCACACGGATGGTATGTCCTTGGCATTAACTATACTAAGAGGTCAACAAACCTACCCCGTTTAATAATAGTGGGATGGTCAGTTTGCTCCATGACATTAATATGAGGAACATGTTCATCTATGTCATTACCTTCCTCACCTACGTCATGTCCATCCAAACCGTAAGTTTTCTCATTCGTGGGTTCAACCTCATCAAATATACGTTTTGGTCTTCCCCTTCCCTGTTTTTTTAACAAACTGCTGCTTCCTTTTTGTTAGGGAATGTTTTCTCTTTCTCAACTTCCAAAATCATCTTTGCTAGTTTGTCCTTTAGCCAAATTGATCGATCATAGGAGGTAGACACCATTCTACAAAGCTGATTGCTTAATGCACTTAGAAATGCAAAGCGTCCATTTGATGATGACTGATCGTTTGTCTTCTTAAGTTGAAGTTGCTTGTAATTATCAGAAAGATGCAGCTTTGCTCTTATTGTCCATCTTCGGAGTATTACACCCACTGGTAGCTCAACCATTCTATAATGTTTCATGCATTCAAACATATGTCGACATGGAATGCCTATGGACTCAAGCTTCATACAACAACATACCATTTGTTGTAGTTTCTTGTTTAAACAAACAACGTACCTACACTCTTTCACCACACAGTCATTTAACCAAAAAGTAACAGAAGCCCCATCAACATGCATTTCATCTTCCTCAACTTTAGTCACAACGTGCCTTGATTCATAATTGAGTTCCTTACAAAACAAATTGTAAGTGTTCTTTGTATAAGTTCGCGCAGCTTGGGTTTTAATTTCAGTCAAGACACCACCAACAACAGGGAACTTGTGTGTGGATATGTAATCGTCTTGATCTTCTTTAAACCGGAAAATTTCAAGAACTTGATCATACAGCTCAACAAATCGATACAACATTATTTTTGATGTTATGACCGTTTTCAGTGTGCTATTCATGGACTCACATCTTTGGGTGCTTCTCATACCTGCATTCACAGATTAATTTGTAAGCTAACAAACAAAAAATATGAAAATGGTTGCAACTTGTAGGTAATGTCCATATTAATTATTAGGAAACACATGTTGTTGTGATTTAAAAATATGCATTCATATATAATTATGTAGATAATGACAAATTATAATAAAAAATGTTCAGGAAAAAAAGGGTTTATATGAATACATTATATAGGTAATGTCTAATAATATTAGATAACACAATTTAATCTGATTTCTTCTCAATAAACATAAGATATGATAAATTTATATTTTGATAATAACCTATTATATACTTAGTGATTACATATAATGCTACTTAAACTTACCTGCATAAAATTGTCCAACAATAAAAGCCTCTGCCCATTTGCTTTTGTCACTGTACAGAACTTTTTCCCACTTTTTATCTCTGACTTTGGGGTATGCTTTCATTAAATCTTCCCACGCCTCCTCGAACTCATTTGGTGTCCGAGCTCCATCCACGCATTTCATGAACCCGTTGCAAAACCGTCTATTTGTGTGACCCTTGACATTACGCATTAGATGCCAAAGACATAGTCTGTGATCAGCCTTTGGTAACACCGCCCGAATTTCTTTTTCCATGGCTTTGTCCCCGTCTGTGACAACAGTATAGGGATGGAATTGGCCACCAGCCTCAAGTAATTGTTTTAACACCCATATGTAGGTATATGTTGTTTCATTTGCAACAAGAGCAACACCAAATGGCACAGTCTTTCTGTGATGGTTCACACAAACAATAACAACAAAATATTTATGGTATGCGTTGACTTTGTAAGTCGTGTCAAACGCAATTACCGAGCCGAAAGCCTTGTAATCCCCTTGACTAATCTCATCACACCAAAACATTTTTTCTAATACCCCGGTAGTTGGATGTCGAGTATATCTAAGAAAAAAGTTCGGGTCAGAAGCTGTTTTACCAAGTAAATATGCTAAGACACTTTCGGTGTCGCCGTCTTTTATCTCTTCTTTCTTGAACTTCTCACAAGTATTATACAAGTCTTTCCTTAAGTATCCTACTCCACGTATTCCCTTAGCATTACGTGCAATATTTCTCATAGTGATAGATGGTTTCACTCCAGAATCAATTAGAGACTTAATATAAATCTAATCGGCTTCACTAACGTCTCTGAATGTCCTGTATATTCAAAATCAAATAAAACAATTACAATTGGTGCTCGATAAATCGTTTAATTTATTTTTAATTTTATGTTGTTACAAATAGAATTAAAACCCAACTTTCAAAATAGACCTGGTTCATGGGGATCAGTTCATGGTTATGCTCAGCCACAAAATTTTTCACATACCATGAATCTTGAAGGTGTCCCATTTGAAATTAATCACTGCTCGACAAGCGCATCGAGTAATTGGTTTTTCCTTACGCTTCCTATCAGGTCTGAAAAGGTGTATCGCTTCTCGAAATCCCTGCCTATTGCACCAAATGATTTGAGAGGTCGGATGTCCATCAATTTTGCTTATTCTTGTATGCTTACGCCGTATTCCAAAACCCGTACACTTGGCATACATCTTGTAAAAATCAACGCATGTTTGAAGATCTTTGAACGATAATCGTTCCATGTCTTCAAATGTAAAATCCTCTAATCACTTGCCAATTTTTTCCCAAACTTCTAGACCTCTAAACGTTTTTGGCATCTCATAGTTGACAGTTTCTGAGTCGTTGTTGTCATCATCTTCATTGTTATATTCATCTCCATTGCTATCATCTCCATTGCTATCACCTCCATTGTTAGTATCCTACATAATATAGGTCATGTATGTATAGTCATATTTTGTTGTTTAGTTGTACATAGTTTATAGAAAGAAATGACCAATGTGAATATAGGTTAATTCCATATGCGTAAAACTCAGTAATACCTTAGGATCTTGAATCTCAATAATCTCATCCTCTGCCGCGGATATCTCTTGATTATTTGACTTGTGGAAAGATTTTCAAAATTACAATAAATTTAACGTCAATAAATGGCCTATAAATTGAGATTTCATCTGAAATTTTTTTTATTTTGATAAAAAAATGATAGTTCAATAACACATACCTTTGAATCACAAGTAATACACTGTGTATTAGTTTCTTCTAAATCAGAATCGTCGTCTTCTATGAAAAAATCCATTATGAGCTTAAACCTCAAATTAAAAAACAATGTAACACGATGTTCTTAATCAATATTAGCTGTGACATATTATCTTTGTTAGTTAAAGGAAATTGTACATATCTCATCAAAAGAAAAAGAAAAAAAAATGCACACTGTGCATATTATCTAAAAATATAGTCATAGATATTTGCATATATAACGTTACCATAATTAAAGGCTATTTAATGAAATATATTTTTTTTAACCAAAAAAAAAACATAAAAAAAATAATAAAATTGAAAGACAAAAAATTTTACAACCGTGAAAATTCAATTTCACACATACCCCAAGGGCGGTTACTATTCACTCTCTCTTTATTTCACTCTCTCTCTCTATATCTCTATTTTCCTTCATCAATAAGCATTCAACCATTGTTATTCCGATTTTCAATAAACAACGGTGACGGAGGCGGCCACATCGTCGAAACCCCTTTCGCACTTAAACCAACACTAGTTTTGTAAGTACCTTCCAACCATTCTCAACTTAATTTATGTAATTTGTGTATGTTTGTTTTGAATTGAGTATTTGCAACTTCCAAATTTCTCAAACTATTATGTCAAGTATTTTGTGGGTACAAAATTGGGATTTTGTGTATATGATTGAAGATTTTAATTTGTTGTTTGATGGTTTAATTACATGTTTTGGCACCACTTTTTCACTAACAAAAACAAAATAGTAGTGATTCCGAACTCGATTCTGAACTACAATTGGATCACTTGGTTTTTTTTTTTTTTTTTTTTTTTTTTTTTTTGAGGTGTTGATGAATATAATAAAATTATTTTATGCGTGTGAATGTACATGGGCTTGATTGAAAGGGTGTAGTTAATTTCATTGAAATGTTTAGTGTAAAATATTCTTTCATTGTTTAGTTAATTTCATTGTTTTATTTTGGTAACTGTCAATTTAATAACTTAAATATAAGTTTGTTTGAATGACCTGGTTCTTATTGTTGTTACTCACTTTGAATTGTAATGGGTCGAAAATAATTCTTGTTGCAATCTACAATGTGTAAACAGAAACAAGTATAAACATGTCTTCCAGAAAGAGAAAGCCAAGTTCAAGTTCTATTTCTCTGCCAAAAAAGAAACTTAAACCATTCCCTGCGAGAAGTTCAACCAAAATAGGGGTACAGTTTCTATATGTTGATTTTCCTCATGTCTTCATTGGGATATGTATTTGTACTTATCATAACGCAACATGTCAAATTGTTTTTGTAGGTATCATGGGAACCCCTTTGTCATCTTGAAGAATTTGGTGCATTAGTTAAAGGATTCCCAAGAGAGAAGAAGGAGAAGTTGGAGGCCATGGGATTTGGTTTCCTTTTACATTACAACACCAAAACAACGAGGAAAACGATGTGCAAGTGGGTTATTGCTCACTTTGATCCATCCACAAGAACTCTTGGGGTATATGGTGAAAAATTAGAAATCACACCTAACCATGTAGAGTACCTTTTGGGTTTTAAGGATCATGGTTTTGATATTGATAACGCAGAGTTAGATGACCTCAGTACCGTAGATGAAGCTTTACATAGGTTTACAACACTGAAATACAAGGAATGGTATCTGAGCTAAAGAAAGTTGCACATGACGATCCAAACTTTGGTCGAATGTTCACCCTATTTGTCATGATAGCTTTAATTTGCCCAAACATGGAAGAACAACTACCTACAGAATGGCTTCATCTTGTTGTTGAAGAAGACTGTATACGTCACTAGAATTTTGCAAAATTTGTGCCGGATAGTATGGTTGTTTCCATACAAGAATTCAAGTCCCAAGAAAAACCTCTGCATTTGGGTGGTTGTCCTTTGTTGTAGATGGTATGTTTATGTTCTTTTTTTGAATATGTATTGACCAATTAGTCTATATTAGATTACAAAACGATAAAAGATACTTTTTAAAAATAAAAATCTTCTTGTGCTGCACTATATTAGGTATTGACCTATGAGGATGTAAATGATTACAAAACATACCATCTACTCTGTTTATATAAAATCTTTCTTATGGTAGTAGGGTTTTTTGTTAACACGGGTTATAACATGTAGGGAATAATTTCAAGATTTAATCCCACTAGCTTGAACCCCACTGTGATCATACACTAAAATACGGTGGCGTCCAAAAGGGAAGAAGATAGAGCAAAAGAGTCGCCAACAAGTTTTTTTAGGAACTTGTAAACCGTTCACGAGGTGAAGGTTACACCCCTTAACGATCCAAGAGATCGTCAACTCCATAAGGTCTAGAACCAAATAAGGGTTTGGGGATGAAGGTACAAATCCAACCTCAAAGTGATTGAACCTGCCCTAATAATAGGCCTCTACTTTATTCTGATCGTATTCATGTGCGCTTTCTAATTAACATGCAATCAATAGAATTAACCCTAAACCTGTTTAATCTATGTTGGTTGAATTTATTGCACAAATAAATCTATTATTGGCGATCACTTGAATTATAATCACATTAACCCTAAATAAGATTATTAATTATCTTATTAAGCGTGATTACAAGTACCAATTCCCTTTAAACATGCATAAAAAGGCGTGATCAAGCAATAAATATAATATCAAGAAACATAATAAATAATCAATATCATGAATAATAATTATAATAAGAAAAAAATAATAATAATAATAATAGTATTCATGATCATCATAAATTATAACAATTATAATCCTAATCATGTTCATGTTAATATTAAAACATAATAAAAATAGCAAGATCCTAGGCATGATACTAACAAAATTAATAACAAATCCTAGCATGTCACTAAGCAATAAAAATCAAATCTTTAGCCCTAACATGATACTAACAATCATAAATATTAGGAAGAGAATAAAAGGCATCATAACAATCATATTTAATATATTTGATATTACCCTAGACATGATACTAGGAATATCATAATAACAATATAAACATGATTTCTACATCATAACATCAATAAAAACCATTAAAGCACTTACTTTGATGCCTCGTACCTTTTTCTAATAACAAAATACACACGTTAGTAACTTCAACGAAAATAATAATCAAACAATTAAATTAAATAATTGAAAGAGAGATTTGGGACCAAACCCCTCAGAAATTAAACCTTTCACGTCTAGGGAGAAGACAACTTTGAATATGGCTAGGTGTTTCTAAATCTTGTGAATGCGGAATTTTTTATGTAAAAGCAAAGTTTAGAGAAGAACGATTAATGAATGCTAATTAAAACTGATTGTAGATCATGAAAATTGGAGCATGATTAAGAGAGAATTAGAGAATTAACGATTGCGAATGAAAACTGATTGTAGGTGAATGTAGATTCTTGAAAACGGAGTTTTTAATACGATATTTATAAAGAAAATTAGCCAAAAAGATAAATTAAACAAAACAGAGTCTGACGCATAAAAAACAGAGCTGGCGCCAAACCTGGCTAGCTGGCGCCAGGCACCAACACTAGCGCCAGGCGCCAATGGCTAGCGCCAGGCCTGGTTCCAGGCGCCAAGGCCTGGGGTTAGGCGCCAAGCTTATTTCCAACGCGTTTTTCGAAAATCAGATAAGTTTACCGTACTGGAGGATAAAACCGTATAATTTCCTCGAAAATGCTATTTAATTTTGATTAAAACTCTGAAAAGTCAACAAAAGTCAATTTATCAATGCTAATTGAATTAGGAATGAAAAGAATCTTCAAGAAGATTCTAGAAGACCAAAACCATTCCTAATTGCATTATGAATGATAAATCATATTAGGCCCTCCCCTAGATCATTGTGCCGTATATAAAGCTCAAATCGGGCCCAGTTCAGTAAATTGGCTATAACTTCCCCATCCAATTATACTACTATTGGACCCATATCATGGACTAACCAAACTGGATTGGCTGTTTTCTTAAAAAAAAAGTTTTCAAAAACAGAGAGAAGAGAAAATAAAATA